TATTGTCTATTTATCAATTAAAATACGTTTCGGTGTTTTCCACCATCATCAGTTTCTATGTGTAGCGTTGTTGCTACTTTAAGCCTTGGCATATATCGAAATATATATGAGTATAAATATTTTATTCATGTTCATTGTTTATAATGTTATTCGTTAATTTGAAGTTGGTTTTATATTTAAAGCATGGGACAGCTAGAAATTGGGATCGTATGAACGTCTAAAATCTTTGACCAATAGAGACACTTTTGTACCATCGTATCATCGTATAAACGGATGCATGCGACGGAGGCTTAAGAATCAGATGAATGAGACAAATGACAAATGCCCCAGAACAAGCTCGGTCTTTTACTTGTCTTTATCTATGAGCTCGGTGTGCCGGCCGGAAACATAAGTAGGTACCTACTTAATATAAATGTGACCCAACGAACTTACTATTAAATAAATTACTGTAAATGTGATTAAATACTTGCAGTGCTTTCAATATTGTGAATTATGATATTAAAAGTTATTTATGGGCAATCAATATCAATTTCTTGCATAATATGCATATTATTCGTTAGTTCGGATGGAATTCCTGAATTAAACACATTTAAATTATATACCTGTCCAGGTATATAAGTTAAACCTACCCAGGTAGCAATGACCTACACCCGCTTCCTACCAAGGAAGCGCGTGTAAAAAGTAGTACGTCATCGAGAACCACTCGTCTTTATCTATGAACCACTCGTAAGCACAGGACATACCCCCTAGGGGGGATATTTTGTGGTCGTAAGGGTGCATCGATTTCAGGATTCGTGTGCGGTCAAAGTGATGAAATTAAGGACAGTATTTTGAACAGTTTTAAGGCTGCCTTCTAATCGAAAATCAGTGACTCATTTGTGTTATTTATAACAAGCTTATCCAAATAAATATAGTGCCAATTTAGTCGTTTTGTTTGGGCAAATTCAAAAAAGTTTTCAAATTCCGCAAATTGTCTAACGGCAACTATCGAAGAATAAACAATATTTTCGGAGAAAATGCTACATTTTCATATTTCGCATGTCGGGTTAGAGACAAGTATCTTGTCTCTGATGCATGTTTAGCACGTCCAACGTGTGAGATCTTTGGTTCGGTTCGCTTCATAGATCACACACTGTATGCTGTATCATCTGTAACATCTGTATGCTGTTCCTCACTCATAGAGCACAGAAACGCCTAGTTGTTTTCATCTTTTTAAATCAATCATTTCATCTATCAAGCCTTTATAAAGTGATTTATAAGCTAACTAACTTGACTGCAGTATGTTTACAGTTACAGAAGTTTCAGCAGATCAATGTGGAAGTATTGACCCCCAGGAGCAAAGAGGTTTTTTGGCGAAGAAAATTTTATAACTTCGGAAAACGTCGATGCACAAAGTTCTTTCGTTTTTCTCAGTTATGAGACTGATATGTAATACAAAGTACGTTTAGGAGTTTAAATATATGATGTTGTATATTCACTTTCCATTTATAACGAACTTCGCTGCTCAGCAACACCAATCGTGAGGAGTTGTTTATATTAGTGAGATCGAGAGACAGGCAGTGACTTGTTGTTTTTTGCCGCGTTATGTATGTAAATCGTTTTAGAATGGAAAAACAAAAACTCAAAGCTTTTTCACTAAATGAAAAGTACAAGATTATTAACAAAATAAAAAGTGGAGTAAAGCAGAGTGACATTTGTAAGGAATTAGCACTTGGAAAGTCTACTGTTGCACCAATATGGAGAAACAGAGATAACATTTTATCAGCGTATGACAAAACAAATGTTAGATGTAGGAAGTTAAAATTATCCGCACATGAAAAGGTTGACAAGGGACTTATTGAGTGGTTTACTCAAAAAAGACAAGAAAACATTCCCATAAGTGGCAGTGTTTTGCAAAAAAATGCTAGTGAAATGGGAAGTAAAATCAAAAACAAAGAGTTTGCTTGTTCTAAAAGTTGGGAAGCGCGTTTCAAGAAGAGGCATAATATGTTGGAAAAATTGTTGGAGAGTCTGCCGGTGAAAAATTATTCTTATGAAAACGTTAGAGAACATTTTTTATAAATCTCTTAGATGCAGTCAATTTCATTCATAGAGCTTGGCAAAAAGCAGAAAAAACATTGCAAATTGCTGTAAGCATGGGGGATTTGTGAGAAAAGAAAATGCTTATGAAGCAGACGATAAAATTCCACTTAACAAATGGTTAGAAAAGTATACTCTGACTACGAGTATGACACAGGCGAAGATGTCCCAATGTTGGCGAAAAACAAGTTAAAACGAAATTGAGTGATTTCAATTTCTTTGAATATGTGAGCATTGATAATGGCATTCTTACAAGAGAAATGTTGACCGATGAGCAAATTATAGACTCCGTAACCTCATCTACAGCTTTAAGCGATAATGAGAAAGATGACGATTTAGGTGAAACGTATTCTACTGTAGACACTAATGCTGTTCCAACCATTTATGAAATGACAAAAAAATTGTCAGAAACTCGGAATTTTCTACAATAACGCCAAGTTCCTAATCATATCTGGCAGTCCTTTTGTGACCTTGAAACTACATAAATAACATCTATTTTTGCAGCAGAAATGAACAAACAAAAATTACAGACTATGAAGTAGATTTCAAATTGAATTTTGTTTATCTTTTTGTGTTCTTTTTACTCATACCTACTAACTTCTACTACTCTATGTAAAAATAACGAAATAAAATACACCACGTGTTTTTGTATTATTATTCGCTTATAGCAAACTCCGGATATAACGAACCAGTTTTAGTTCATTTTTCAAGTTTGTTATATCCGGACTCAATTGTATTTATTTTGCCATAAACTGAAAAGAATAAGACACGAAACTCATTGTAACAGATAAAAAAATAAATATTTTTAATCTGTAATTAAACATTTCAAATGCTATGGGGAAATGTATGGGGAAAACATCTCACAGAAGTGAACGCTTCGGACATTTTTTTATATTCGACGCATGTGCATCGTAATACTCATTACCGCGAAGATTCTTTCTTTATAAAACAGCGAGCCCAAATGATTATCACAAATAATTGATATTGCTATAATATTTATGGGTCATGTATACTGATAAACTTAACATGCTACTAAGCAAGAATATAGTTTTTACAGCATTTAAGCGTGCCGTATAGTAAGTGAAGTACTTAAGTCTGTGTCGGCTTTGCTGAAATTCTTTCCAAGCACTTACGTATACATTGGAAAATATCAGACTATTTATAATTACTTTCGGCTTAAGATTTAACTGGAAACTCCGGATTTACGTAAATATAAGATGTTAAATGAGAACATTGTTAAAGTGAGTACTATTCAATTATCAGCCAATAGCGAAACAGGTGATGAAGGACGCGGGAACTTGAACAACGATGAACAATCGCTACAATCAGAACTCGAGCTTAACAGTACTGCAACGGCGGCCTCGGTTGTCATCAAAATGCCTCCGATTCCAATTGAAGAACCTGCCGTTCCACCGAACTTAGAGAAAGATGTCGGGAAGAAACTCTCGGGAAAACGAGTTGAAAAACGTAAAGAGGAAGTGACATACAAGACTCATCTCACCTCACTTGCACACGTGAGCGTAGTTCTTTTTGTGTATCTCATTTTGAAGCTGGCATTTAGAGGTGAATTTGAATTCTTCACTTGGCATCCCATCTTAATGGCAGTTGGGGTAAGTACCTAAGCTAATCATGGGTTTTCCCTTTGTTGCTAGCCATGTGCTACTATTGATATTTTCATCATAAACATCAAGGTTACATTTATTATTAGTCCGTGGGTGAAAGCTGAGAAGTACAAACATGTCACGGTATTAGTTAAGTTGAAGCGAAAATTCCAAAACGCAATGTAAGCATGTCGGACTGGTAAACTATAGACGGATCAAACTCGGTATACTAGTACTCACAGGCTTAATAAACCTAGCGACAACCTATGGAGAATAACATGGTAGAAGAGGAACAGGAGGCGTTCAAAAACCCTGATAAGTCGAAGCTTTTCATCAGGCATCTTTGAGGAGTTTTTGGAAACTTTTTGAAAAAGCCCCAAGACGGAGACCTCGCAGATTCGACCGGTCAAAATTTTTGATCTCCCCTGTATTCATAATAGCAAGTTTTTTTACTGGGTTGTCCCTAGGTTCAAGTGTGAACTAACAACCTAACGTGCATACATAGTTTCATATTTTTACAATACATTGGTGAACAAAAAATAAATACTGGTTGAGCGAGTGCACTTTTAAGAGACGCTATCTCTGCTAGGAGGCACTTTTAGACTATATTTTCATAATGCTTCGTAATTATTTGGGTTTAGAATATGCCACCGTAAAGCGTGGAAGATTAGAATCGATCTCCCTGTATATGTATGTATGGTAAATATTTATCTACTCAGAGCATGATCCAATTAATAAAGATAACGGATGTTATGTGAAAAAGGTTCACCATTCTTTATTCAATAAGGCCGTGCTTGATTACTCTAATAATTCGCAACCAGAAGAAATACTATTCCTAAGAGAAATACTCTCAGATTATGTGTGATTTTTTAGGTATATAGGGACAGTGCGATTTTATATAATAACGAAGTTTTCATTGTAAACATAGGAGTCACATTTTGGAGAACC